ACAATAATTCATAAAATACAATTGGCTAACTAAAGCAATTTAACAAGAGATTGACAAAGAGAGATAAACACAGTGTCTATAAGAAACTCATTCACAAATAATGATACATGTAAGTAGAAAATAAAAGCATTTTACAAAGACCTCATGCGAACATGACCCATAATAAAGCAGGTGACGATAGCAATCTAAGATCACGTAACCCTCGGAGGAAAGAAAATGATCAGGAGAGAGGGACTTTATATACTGATACAAAGGACAATCTCCCAAGAAAAGATAACAACCCCCAAGTGTGTGTGCAACCAAGACCAGAGCTTCAAAATGCACGAAGCACGTGAATTAAGTACTGATAGAAGAGAAAGGAGCAAATTCGCAAGTAACTAAAGACTTTGACAGCACTCTGTAAACTAGTCGTAAAGCTGCTAGTTATAAAATCAGCAAGGGTGTGGGAGAACTTAAAACACCATCAACCAACTTGTTCTCATTGACCTTTAAAAACACTGTCCCCAACACCAGCAGAATTCACATTCTTTCCCAGAAGCCATGGGATACTCACCAAGACAGACCGCATTCTGGGCTCAAAGACAAATCACAATGAATTGTTTTAAATGGAAATTATACAGACTGTGTTCTCTGACAGCAAGGGAGTAAAAGTACAAACCCAGAGCAGATAGATAACAGGAAAACCCTCAAACGCTGAGAAATCAAACAACGCATTTCTAAATAATTCATGGGGCGGAAAAGAGCATCAAGACAAACTGTGTGATGGAGCTGACTGCAAATACACACGTGGAAACAAACACACTAGACACAACTCAGTGCCGCGTCCTCTTCCAACCACGTTGTCTGACAAGGTCCGGATGTGCGGAGGAAGCTTCAAGGATGCATCTTCTAGGAAGAGGACGTGGCACGGGGGTGGGATTGATCGGTATTACGGAATTATAATAATTACTATTCTACTATATGACTAACCTGGGAATAACACACAAGGTATCTGAAATCATGCCTCTTCAATTAAATTCTGAAGAATCTCCAGCTTCCCTGGAAACAGTCACCACTGCATGTCCAGACTGTCTTAATAATTTACTAATTCAATTAGGTATAAAATTCGCCCCCGAAAGTCCCTAATAAACAATTCATGGATGAATTCTGACAGGTAGAAATAATGGAGGCACCTTATACTCCTGTGCCTCCTCCCCAGATAGAAAGAGTATTTTAAGAATAAAATAAAATTGTGTCGACCCCTACCCACTGCTCAAGGGTTTCCTTTTATAGCTTATCCGATAAAAGGAAAACTATGGTACCCACCACGAGGGGCTAGCAGTACGCAAAGGCTTCCTGACCCTCCCTTGCCCTTTACAGGAGCACATAGTGGGATGGAGTGAGAATAGTTCACAAAGACGGACTCCGTGTTCCTTACGCGAGCTTGCCTTCACGGAACGATGAGCACGCCAAGGCCCCCCTCGGTGCTTACGCACAAGGTTTTATAGGAAATGCTGTCCTGAGTTAGTTAGGGAGGTAAATCAAAAACTAGCTGATCTAAAAACCCAGAACTAGAGTTTAAATAAAGGTCAACTATTAACCTCAGACAAAGGGCCTATAGAGAACTCTGTCTACATAACCGTCTATCGCCTTATAGGATACTCTATTCCCTTCCTCGATAGTATCTAATAAACACAAATGGTTATGAATTAATTCTGAAGAAAATGAAACTAACATTCTGATACTATGGAATGAAACTTTCTGCTTCTATAACCGAAAATGTTAAACTCATGCCAAAAAAGAAAGTATATCAGCACATAGAAACTTGCAATAAATCGGAACAGTGTCACACTGCCTCCGGGTCGTGTAGTCATCTGTCTCCCAGCGCCGACGCCTTCGGGCCCCCCGGACCCTGTAGCAGCGGGCCTGCGGCAAGTCAGGGATGCAGGTAAAGCAGCAATGGAAGACAATTTCTAACATGAATGCCCTCTCCGATTAATAGCTGGGCTCCCATCTCAAGACACTGGGAAGAGGGGAGTAACTAAAACATCAAAGACAAGGAAGGAAATCATAGACAACAGAAAACAATGACATTCAAAACACAGAAAGAGTAATGAAAATCAAACAAACAAAAGCTAGCTCTTTGAAAAGATCAATTAAGTCGACAAACTTTTAAAAAGACGACAAAGACAGAGAGAGACAGAAATTCCAGCATTGGGAATGGCACGTACTACAGAACCCAGGGGCGTCAGAGGATCACAGGGAATCCTGTGAATGACGTCACAGACACTTGACATCTCGCATGACAGGCACGAACCACTAGAAAAACACAAAGTACGCAATAAGAAACGGGAACCTTACCTCTTTCTCTTCAGGGCGTATCAGTGCAAAGAACTGCTCAGGTGCTGATCAAACCCAACAGCACAGGCCTTGAGGGGCCATAAGCCAGCAGGGGGCGCAGGAGTCACGGCCCACAGGCCAGGCCAAAGGGGAGCAGGGAGGGGAGGGACAAACACCTGGGCTGCAGGGCCCACCTGACAACTTTCAACTGAGGACGGGCCCAGGCACTGGAGTCCGGGGACACAGGCCGCTCCCGCCAGCCTGTGACGGCCAGAGGCTCCGCCCTTCTGGAGGTCAGGTCCACTGACTCACTGCCTCTCGGCTGACAGAGGTGAAGCCCTCACCCTTAAACAGGAGGTCGCTGAGACGACGGGAGGGCCCCCAGTGGCCCAAAGTGACGCTCCTTGAAAGAGACAAGACCTTGAGCTTACATGTTCTTTTTCCATCTTGAACACGACTTAATGCAGGGAGGTGAACGCTCAGGGACTCGTACACTCCTTTTAGGAATGAAGCTCGTAGGAAACAGAATGGACGCTGCCCAGGACGTCGATCTGCCCCTCTGGCCTAGGAGCCTGTGGACGTCGGAGCCCGGTGTCTGGAGCTCTGTCTGTCAAGGGAATGGGAGCCAGAGGGTAACGTAGGGAGAGGCGGTTCCCCCTCCGTGTGCCGTGCATATGTGCTCTCTGATGGCAGGGTGGGGCTCTCTCTGCCCACATCCCGAGCTTGCTGCACTGTCTTCCAGTCTCCAGCCAGGCTCTCACCCCCATGTTCCTGCCTGAGCCTATGGGAGCCAGTGTGAGAGTCTGACCTGGCCCAGCCTCTCTGGCCCCTCCCACCCAGCTGTGTTGCAGCCCAAGGAAGGAGGTGAGTGCATCTTCTGTGCTGGGTGCTCAGCCAGTTCCCACCTCCCCCAGGCCGCACCCCTCCCCCACCACCACCCACAGGCACCCTGCTGTTCACCTTCCCCAGGCTCACAGCCCTGCTCCTCACTGGGCAGCACCAGCCCCTCCTCTGACCCGGCTGAGCCACTGGGGGTGTCTGAGCCGGCCATGGAAGCCCCTTCCCCTTTGCCCTCATCTGGTTTGCAATGAAAATGTGAGCCAGTTCTGGACAGGGAAGGGTGGGAGCAAGACACTGGAGGATTATGGGAAAGATGGTCTCCCTGCGAAGAACACACGTGATGAGAAGCATGTTCTTTACTGCTTTTGAACACTGCCAGGTGAAAATGTGCCCCGTGAGGCGGCTGCGACCTCAGCGCCCATCACAGCAGACGCAGGGACAAACTGATGGAAAAGCCGGGACCTCAGTGGCCTTGGTGAGCTGCTGAGCTGAGCCTGAGTCGCCTGCCTCCCGTGCTCCTGTGCCAGGCACAGAGGGTCTGGGCTGGCGAAGGCCCTGGCAGGTACGCTCTGCTTCTCGAAGCCTCATGCATCCCACAGGCAGCAAGTGCTGGGATCCCCAAGGTCCAAGACGCCACCGTCTGGAGGCTTTCCACGGAAGACAGCACCCGACTGGCCTGCCCCGTGGCTCCTGTACTTCATGGAGCTGGTGCAGGACACAGGCCTATGGGGGCACTGGGGTGACAGCTCTGTGCCTCTAATGTGTCCCCTTCCTGGAGGGGGAGCCTCGTCCAGGCAGCGGCACAGGGTAAGGCTTCGCTCCTACTCTGCTTCCAGGAGGCTCACAAGGCCCAGAGATTTCATGCTTCGGGTAAGTAATCATTGGACTAGGAAATACTAAGTTTCACTTTAGAACATACTTTACATTCCGTCATTCTTTGTGTCAAAAGGAAAGTGAAAGCGAAATTCTCACCTTGGTATAAAAGCAGTTGCAGCTGACCAAGAACATCAGAATCATCTGGGCTTCCAATGGCTTCGGTAAGTGCCCTGGACGTGCCTCTCGGTGGTCCTACAACGGGAGGGCAGCTCCCCTCCTGTAAAGGCGTCCTCTGCGTTCCTGTCCTTGTTGACGCCAGAGCTTGTCTTTGCGAGGCTTTGGTGGAGAACTGTGTGTCGTTTAAAAGTCTCTGTTTCTGCAGGACTGAGAGCTTCAGGCACAGGGAGTCTCCTCACTGCGTCCGCACTGTCTGCGGTGGGCCCCGTGTGGGAGGACATGTGGGTGTCTGGGAGCTGTGTCTGCCTGAGCTGGGGAAGAAGCTGCAGTGTGGGCTGATGAGGGGACGGGGACTTGGGAAGGGAGTGAGTCCCCAGCCTGTCCCCTCAGCTGCTCCTGGAGTGTGGTGCCTTCTCAGCCAGTCTGTTCTCCCTCCTCCTTCCTCCAAGGCATGTGTCCTGCCTGAGGAGCGCATGGGAACTCAGCACTCTGACTCCGACAGGCCCCTCCTAGCAGCCCTGCTGTCCGGACGGACACATGTCCTGGAGGGGCAGATGGAGCCCCTGGTGTTCAGATTGAAAGGAAGCAGCTGGACTCGGGCTATCCCTGGAAAGGGCGCGATTCTGGGAAGGCGCCCTGCACATTCCAGAGCCCTTTGCTCCTGCACCCCCGCTGAGGGGAAGGGCTTTATTGCGGCCAGAGTTACAGTCTGCCGCCTGGGAACCACCGTCCTACCCAGACAGGCCCGCTCGCCGCCCCCTGCTGATGGACAGTGCCCAGGCCTCACCTTACTTAGACATTTCCTTTCTAGTGAGTGCGCCCTGTACCCCCAGAGCGAGACCGCCTTGGGCCGGCCCTGCCCTGGCTCACAGAGAAGAGGCGCTCGCGGGGTCCTGGCCCTGGTCACTCTCCTGCCCTCCTCCGTGCAGTTTCTTGCTCCTATTTCACACCAGCCTGTCACGGGATCCTGGGATGCAGGGGTGAGGTCCCAGCACACAGGACCCTCCCTGATGGAGCTCATGGCCCAGAGGGGTTGCCCACAGGTATAGGGACCTGCATGGAGCGTGATCTGTGTGGGGACAGGTGGGGTCCTGGGGAGCCTGTGGACCCAGAGATGGCCGCTGAACCAGGCTGGGGCTTTCTGGCAGCTTCTCAGAGGAAGGACGTGTGTCTGATGGTGGAGGGGAGGAGGAGCGTGTGGGGAAGGGGGGGCAGAGAAGCTGTTGTGGGGAGCAGCACAGGTGACAGTGAGTGTGTGTGGAGGGAAAGGGCAAGTCCTTCCGTCAGCCTGGGGCAGAGGGCAGGGAGGGCGAGCGGGGTGAGGAAGGGTGGGCGTCAGGGGCCTGGGAGCTGCCCAAGGGCACGCCTGTACCCTGCGGATGTAGGATGGTCTTCACCAGAAGTGCCCTTTGAGAAGGCCACCGGGGTCTTGGGGAGACTGGACGTGGAGTGGTAAGGACAGGAGGCAGGGGCGGGACAGGAAACTGTGGCGCCACAAAATCGGGAGCTGGGCTCATCGGAACCACGTGCTGGCGGGAGAAGAACGAGGAAGTGGAGTGAGGGAAACTCGCAGGGTCAGCTCCTGTTAGACAGTAACTGGAATGAGGACCAAGGGAACTGACCCCTGGTCTCATCTGGCGCCTGGAAGATGGGCTGGCGGAGAATTGTCATTCGCTGAGTGGGGCGGGCACAAGGAAGATGAAGACAGAAGAATTCTCCAATCACAGAGCTGCGGCGCCCTGTTCGGGGACACTGAGGAGCAGGGCCTGGTGTGGCCGGGGAGGCAGGGAGGAAACAAGACCAGGGAGAGACGTGGCAGAGAGGACCCAGCGTTGCCGCTTCCCAGCTGCACGTTCTTGGGCAAGTTCCTCCCTCTCTCTGTCCTCAGTTTCCCCACATGAGCAGATGAGCGTTTCCCTCCCCTTGGGCTGTGGGGAGGTTGGGGTATGGTGGGAAATGTGCCAGCAGAGCCTGGTGTGAATGTGTCAGCCCCTCCCAGGGCAGGAACCTGGGCACTCCACCAGGGCCCCGTGTGTGTCAGCTCCCGTGTGTCAGGTCGGCGTCTCCAGGGGGCGTGTCCAGGGCTGGGCAGAGGGTGAGAGGCCCGTGCGGCCTTGCACAGCCGGGGCACACGGCGTGATGGAGACAGGAGGTCAGAGTGAAGGACAAGCTCAGGCTCACCTGTCTGACGTTGCTGCTGGGGCCCCATCAGGGAAGGGGTTCTACATGCAGGCTTTGTGTGCACCCCCCCCAGACACGTGCATAGACCACCTGCATATGCACGTCTGCATCCCAGTGTGTGTGCATCGCACACAACACACACAACATACATGTGCAATATACACACACACACATAACATACATACACTAAACAAATCTTCACTCTCCAAACACACAAGTCATTTTTCTAGGCTTCCAGCCTTCAGAGCAACCAGATTACAGGCGTCCATTCCCCAAGGAAACGTTTAGAAGCTGCAGCAGGCAGAGGACCTCACAGAAGCCAATGGTCCCCGGCACACGGGTCCCCAGGGACACTGTCAGGAAGGGCTCCCCAAGCCAAGTGCAGATCCGCAGCCACGGTCTATGCTGTTGCCTCGAAATCTGTCTATATCTTCCTGGTTTTTCTCTTGCAGTTTGTTGAAGAACCCAGGACTGGGGACATCATTCAGATTTCCCGCTCTGGCTACTCGCACTGGGCCATCTATGTGGGCGATGGCCATGTAATCCATCTGGCTCCTCTCGGTAAGGACTGCTGAAAGTATAACGTCTTTAAATAATATTTTTTTTCTGATTATTGATTTTAGAGAGAGAGCAAAGGAGGGAGAGCGAGAGATAGGAACATCAATGAGAGAAATATGGATTGCCCCCACTGGGGTTGGACCCATAACCAGGGTACGTGCCCTGACCAGAAATCGAACCAGCAACCTCCTTGTGCACGGGTCAACGCTCAACCATTGAGCCACACCAGCCAGGCTGAAAGTGTAATGTTTGAAAGATTTCTGAACACTGTGACAACATTCCAAGCCAAATGCCCCATGGGAAACCTGCGTTGGTTTCTCCTGGAGCAGTGCTGCAAGACAACGTCCATCTGCAATCCCATCGGTCCCACAGGTCGTGACGCAGCAGGGAGGGAGGTCCGTGACCCCCAGTGAGGCCGGGCTGCGTCCCCATTCGGAGCTCTCCAGCTCCACGCACTGTACCTGGGCACACAGAGTCTCATTTCACTTAAACCAGCAGCGTCTCTGAACGTCTGCGGTTCACCGAATGTTTCCCTGGGCTGTGTCCTGTGTGCTCACATGATGTCACAGCACAAGGTGTCCCGAGAGTCTTACTCACTACCCCTCGTCAGAAGCAGCTCTGCCAGGTCACACGTCACAAAGGAAGTTCTCCCACAGCGCACATGAGCTCCCAGGATGCTGTGTTTGACTCGTGGGCACAGAACAAGCAGGGTGACTCCGCAGGGGGAAGGAGAGGCAGGACCCAGGGTGAGCATCCTCAGTGAGCAAAGTGCTGCAGGAGACTGTGGACGGGGATGCACAGAGGCCCGTGTCCTGCAGAGCCATCGCTCCGTAACCGTGGACACCAGAGTCCGCGTTCTCACTGGACACAAACGGTCATCACGATCAGAGTAACCTATTGTATCCGACCAGGTCTCCATGGCCATCGTCCACCTTGACAGAGCTGTGAAAGTGTCTGACGTGATGGCAAAGAGGAAATGAAACCCCCTCATGCGGACGGCACTGAGGGGGCTGGGACAGAACGCATGGCTGTGAGGCCCGGGTCCTGTCTGTCTGAGGGCGCCACAGTGCTGCTGAAGGCACGGCCTCCAGTGCCAACATCAGCCTCCAGCCCGGACAGAAAGTGAGCGCTGCATGAGTGTGTGCTCCGTCATCTCCCTCTCGGGATGAGCCTGGGCTCGCACACAGGGGGTAGGGCTCCCTCCGCTGCAGGCTCGTGTGTGGAGTCTCCACGTGGCCGGGACTGTGCCAGAAAAGTGTAATGTTGTTTCAGGGTCTAATGTCAGTGAAAACTGGAGATGATAATATGTAGCATGAAATTATAAAGAAGAATTAGTGAGATAACGTATGAAAAGTTGTACAGTAGTGTCTGAAACGCATTGGAGACTAAACCACCCTGCTCTCTTTCTGGAATGCACAGAGCCCCAGGATGAACATAACAAACAGGATCACTGCCGTTGTTTACAATGGCTGAGCATTTGCACGGCCTCAGTGTTAGTCCTAGGCATTGGTCCACCGGATGATGCCCATTCACACCGTGGAACAGGCAGCCCCTGAGCATCACAACATCATTGTCCTTACAGAGCGTCCACAGCTCGTCAGGTGGAAAGAGCCAAATCTGTGAGTCCTCCAATCTCCTTGGAGGGACAGACACCAGAGCTCAGAACCCGTTTGTTCTTCCTTCCTGTCCTGTGACTTGTCTCTTCACCTCCCCTCCCTGCAGCCCCTGACTAATGTCTCTGGTTTCAGATGAGAGCCGTGGGGCTGGCCTCTCCCCCTGGAAAGGGGAGGTGAAAAGGGAGCTCCTGGCAGAAGTGGCGGGGGGCTGCCCCTATCAGGTCAACAACCACTTGGACCACCTGTACAAACCACAGCCTGTGAAGGAGATGATCAGATCTGCGGAGGAGCTGATTGGCAAGGAGATGGAGTACTGTTTTCAGAGAAGTAGCCATGAGCTCTTTGTCACCGGTCTGAGATATGGCCCGGCTCACAGCCGGCAGGTAAGACCCTTTCTGGGGTGGGCCCTCTCCCTTCTGCAGGGTCGCTCGGTATGGAGGGGACAAGGCTGTGAACCCAGAATGAAAAGTAGCCTGAATGATGTAAAACTGAGATCTCAGAGTACTGCTGGCTGGGAGTCCGACATATTAGAGTACATCTCAGGTCCACTCCTCATCCACTCAGAGTCTTTGGACAAGTCACTTCCTTTCTGGGACTCACTGACCCATGTGCAAAAGAGGAGATGGTTGGAGGCCCTCAGGGCTCTGGCCCCCTCTGCCCCTTTTGGATTCTTTGTCTCTCAGATCCACCCTAAAGGCATCCCCTGATGCCCCTGTGTGTAGTCAGGGAAAGCCTGGGCCAACCCCCGACCATGGCAGGTCCCCAAAGACCCGAGAGATCACTCGGGCAGGTGATGCTCACAGTCTCTGAGCCTACGTAGGAGCTCACGGACACTGTGATGTGAGATCTGGGCACAGCTGCAACCCCCTCAACTCCTCCTCTTCCTGGTTTGTTGTCCCAAACACACAGCTAGTAAGTCAGAAGCAGGATTCAAACCCAGTGGTCTTTCCTTCCCAAGCACAGCACCTCCAGGGCTCCGGTTCTTCTCTTGCAGTGTGTTCGAGAACCCATGCCTGGAGACATGATTGAGATTCCCCACATGTTCTATAAGGACTGGGCCATCTATGTGGGCGAAGGTTTTGTGATCCATCTGAGTCCTCCAGGTAAGGATCGTCCAAAGGCTAATTTTCAAAATATTTGTTAATGAGATCATGAGAGCAATGGAATTTGAAGCCCACCAAGTGGACCTGAGGAGGGAGACACATTGTCCCAGCACAGAGCTTGCTCAGAGTCCATCCAAATCCATCCACAGTACCCACGGGGGTCCGATAGGTCGCGACAGAGCAGGGGAGGCTCATCGCCTCCTGCGGGGCAGCTGGGCTGCGTCAGCCCTTGGATTCTCCAGCTCCAGGGTGGTTGACTCTGTTCCTCCGGACTCTGATGACGTGAGTTCAAGCAGCCCAGGTTATCCAGAGCTCACAGTCTGGCTCGCAACCAGGAAGGGATCTGTGTGCTGTGTTTCTCGAACATCTGTGACCTCACACACTGGGTGTCTTGGTATTTGTAATAGGTACTCCTTAGCAGAAGCAGTTTTCACAAGGGCCCATCCAAAGGAAATTCCCTGAAAATGCAGAGCACGCTCCTGTTAGTCGTTCATTTAAAACGTAAATATGACAGAAGCCAGAGAATGACAACGCGGGGAAACAGGAGCAGGAACGTAACTGATGTCCGTGAATCTTCAATGAAAGCATCTGCCAGGAGGCTGGGATAACCTGCCACGTCAGATGCCACCTGGCTCCTGTCCCACAGCGTGATGGCGACTTAGCCTTTGAGGCTCTGTTTGCATCAGGAAAAAAGAATTGTCCTCCACGTCAGAATACCACATTTGCCTCTTAGGTGTTTTCACAAGTTATCATTTATCCTGAGTGTGTTGTGAGAAGGTGGACATTTACTGTAAAAAGTAAATCAAACCCCTTGAATTCAGATGATGCCTAGAGCCCTTGTAAGAGATAGCATGACGCTGAGGACCTGTGGTCCTTTTTACATCTAACTGCCTAGGTGTGGACAGCTTTACCTGAGAGGCTGGATTCCTGGGCCTCTTCGTCCTTGAGATTAGAGACAAAAATATGGGCTTTCAGTGTGCTCATTAGTTACGCTTCCCCTGGGAAAATCCTCCCTGCACTCACTGCAGCAATGGAATTGGGGCTGAAGCAGCTGAGGGCTCTCCCGTGGCCCCTCCCTGTGCCCAGCACGTGCCAGGTCACGGCGTGCAGACACTTAGCCGCGGGACCCTGAGCCTGACTCCACACGTGGGAGGAGCTCGGCCTTGGAGCCTGGGGAGGCAGTTCCGAGTCCTGGTCCTGGGAGCTTTCCCAGCACAGAGGGGTCTGTGAATGTCTCTCTGCATCCAGTTTGGTGGAAAATGGAGATGATATTTTTCTTGAAGGGCAGAAAGAGAATTAAATTAGACAATATGTGAAAAGCAGCCCATAGAGCCGCTAAGCTCGGTGCCAAGAAAACTGCATCTGTTCCTGAAACACCAGAGTGTGAAGAAGGACAGGGATCTCAGTATATTCCTACCCTGCCTGTTATCACGGCTGAGCCCTTGATCAACGCAAATGCTCAGGAAAAGGGGTCACATTTCCCATGGACATGCGTATACCACCATACCGTGACACTGTCTTGTGACCCAGCCATTGACAACCATGACATTTACCGCATGTAAAGGAATGTATGACACCTTGTTCGCAAACAGAACAAATTATGTGGTTTCTCTAATTCTTTCAGGGAATTATTTCCCAAATCTTCATGTCCGGCAGGGTTTGTCTTTTTGTCACCTCTCTAGCCTTCTGTCTCACTACTTCCTCAGCCCACGACCTGTCTCTTTGATTCCCAGGCGAATGGCACCTGTCCATGTTTCTGAGTGGCAATGCTACGGTAACAAAACAGCCCCTAGAGAAGGTGGCTTTGGGCTGCTCCTACAAGGTCAATAACCACTTGGACTACAAGTACAGACCCCGGCCTGTGCCTGAGATCATCCATTCTGCCGAGAGCATAATTGGTCTTCAGAGGACATACACAGTTCGTAAGGAAAACAGCGAGAAGTTCGTCACCGATCTGAGATATGGCTGGCTCCGTCGTGAGCTGGTAAGGCCCCACGTACCGTGACCCTCCTCCCTCTCAGTTCTCCCGAGAGTGGGCATAACGTGGGCTTTTGGACAAGCCCCAGTGTAGCCTGCATGGTATTTCTTGTATTAATATTATAGCATTAACACACAGAGTAGTGCGAAAGCATCCATTCTCATAGTAGTGCCTCCGTATTAATTCTCACAGTAATGCTACTGCATTCATTCTCACCGCAGTAGTATAGCATTCTCTCTCATAGTAACACCCAGCATTATTCTCATAGTAATGCCACATGATGAATTATTACCGTAATGCTATGGCATTCATTCTCACCGCAAAACTGAATGTCAGGCATTTAACGCTCTAAGCTCATGAAGTCCCGACAACAAGCGGGTGTGCACACGTGGCCCTAGCACACAGCGAGCCGGTACCTTCTCCAACTCATCCAACAGGAGATGAGGGTGAACCCAGGCGTATCACATCCTTGAGGAGCACTTTCAGTCTGGAAAACCTTCCAAAGGATCAGAGGATGAGGGTTAGAGGGATGAGGGTGGAGAGAGACGAGGGTGGAGAGGGACGGGGGTGGAGAGGGATGAGGGTGGAGAGGGAGGAGGGTTCAGAGCGAGGAGGGTGAAGAGAGTGGAGGGTAAAGATGAATGAGGTTAAGAGCAGGACCAAGAGCACCCTAGTTGGAGAGCACAGCTTTCTGAGGCTCCAGGTAGGTCACTGCCTGATGTTCCCTTTGAAGGTGCCCCGGTGATAGGGATGGGTAAGGAGTGGTTGGGGAGGGACCCAGCGGTGAGGGACAGTATGTCTGACCCCAGTGAGAGCGAGGGAAGTGGACACAGGTGGAAGGAGGCAGCTGGTACCTGGATGGGGGCTGAGGGAGAGAAGGAGGGAAGGATGACTCCTGGCCTCTGATTGAGCGACCTGGGCTGAGTGACCCCAGAGGAGGGGGACAGAAACAGGCTTCAACCATGGGGCTGGAATGGACTGTGGGTGGAACACGCAGTCCCGGGGGGCGTGTGAATCAGGAGAAGAGCCGCCAGCACAGGGTCTGGGGTGGGAGTGGGAAGAGCGAGCTGCTGACTGGCTGAGCGATCTGGGGGAGTCCCTTCGCCTCCGCAGTCCCAGCGCCCACACCCCGAGTGGGGGTCGGCCCACCCTGTGAGACCGAGGTGCTGTTCGGTGTGTGTGAGGAGATGTCCACTGCTGGATGTGTGGTCACCACCGGGTCGGATGCTTGGCCCGGCTGCCCGCAGTACCTAAGGAGGCTCCAGTCTGCGTCTCACAGGAACGAGTGCCCAGAGGGGGGGGACAGAATCTGAGGCCACTCAGCGACACTATGGACAACCTCCTTGAACACATGCCTCGTTGACAGACTAGTGGAAGCTCAGTAAGGACCACAGACCAGGAGAAGTTCGCAATGGAATCCCCAGCTTGTGACTCACAGTTCCCAAGACGAGGGCCACGAGGGCCACATGAGGAAGCGCTGGGCTGGTAGGAGGCCGAGAACGTGGGGAGAAAAGTGGGCAAGAGAATGACTGAGGCGGGTAGGCAGGCTGAGGACCGGCCTGTGGGCATACTCTCTGCAGCCTCCAGGCACAGGGCCCAGTGTGGGGATTAGGGCCCCTGGGCAGTGGCCTGGGTGTGACAGCCTCTTGAAGGAGGCAGTTGGGCTCTGGGCTCTGGGTTGGTTCATTTGCATTTGAAAAGTATGCTTATGGCCCAGTTGGTAGCTGTCACCAGGAACTGGCTCCCCCTGGGAGGAATGTCTCTGAGCCTTCACTAAGACTCAGGATGTCCAAGTATCAGAAGAGAAGGTAAAACGCAAAGTTACTACCCCACCAGGGGGCGGGACAAATGTGCTAGGGCCCTTGAGATTAGCAGAAGCAGAGAGACAGGGTTACCCCAACCTTTGTCTTGGCTGCCTGGCCTTCCTGTCCCCAACAGGCTTCTCAGAGATGACAGCAGAGATGGGGACCTGGCAGCCCCGGCTCTTCTCCCTGGGTGCCCACTAGGTGCCGTGTGGCAGCGAGCCGTCCACAGCTCCCCAGCCAGGCTCTGCTGCTGGGACACTTTACACTCTCCCTGCTTTTTCTGTTGTAGTCAAGAGAAGTCCCAATACCTGGCGACCTGATTGCAATTTCTCGAGGTCGATTTAAGCACTGGGCCATCTACGTTGGAGACGGTAGTGTAGTCCATGTGACGGCTCCAGGTAAAGATGAATTATTTGTCTAAACACCCACTTTATGTTGAGTAGGGAACTTAAGAGAACCCATTGCTGAGCTAATTAACATCTGTTTCCTTTTGATTTATATCATGTCAGGTGCTAGTTCAGTAAGTAATGGAGTGTGGACTCCACCAGGTGACAGTGTGTGGTGACTCTCTCCTAAGTGTGCAGGAAGGACTGTGCCGGTGGGAGGAAGCAGGACAGTGCCCCGGAGCCACAGAGTAGAAACTGCTGGGCCTTGCAGTTGTTTCAATTGTTTGCTCCACAACTTCTGTCCCTTGGGTGTGTTACTCGAGTTCACTGGCCCAAGATCAGTCCTGGGAAATGGGGACGACGTTTTCACCTGGGAGGGGTTGCGATGGGGTCTGATGGGGCCTGACTCCTCCCGGTACATACTCAAAAACTCCAACACCTGTCTGAGTTAGAGCCATGCCTTAAGATGCATGATCGGCAGTATTTTCATGATGTTACTGGGTATAGTCAAGGACAAGTTTAAATAACCGGAATGCCTAACAGTCAGGCATTTGCCAAACACATGAAAGCACATCAGAGGAGCACCCGGGCAGCCATGCCAAGTTCCGACAGAGTCCCCACTGGTTGCTAGGGGAACATGTGTAAGGAGGTTAAGTGTTTAAGTTACAAAGTGATAGATCAAACAGTTGCACTCTCACGAAATGTAACCTCTCACAGGAGGGATGAGCAAAGGAGGAAGGACAGTGACCGTCAGGTCACAGCAGAACGCTGTCCTGTCTTTTTCCCTCCTTTTTCAACCTTGCGCTGCTGAGCACGGCGGCCCTTACGGTGTCTGTCTGTGATTCCAGATGGGTACCACGTGTCTGGCTCTGCCAACAATTGCAAACAAACCACTGTAAAATGTGAGCCTCTGAAAGAAGTGGCTGGGAATGACAGGTACTGTGTCAGCAACTACTTGGACCACAAGTACAGACCCCGGCCTGTGCCTGACATTGTCCGTTTGGCAAAGATGACAGTGGGTGAAACCTGGAAGTACGACCTTGTGTCCTCCAACTGCGAGCACTTTGTCACTGAACTGAGAAATGGCCTGCCCTGTAGTGCACAGGTGAGCGCCCCAGGGGTGATTCCTCCTGCAGTTCTGGTTCCCGGACACGAGGGGCCGCTGTTCGTACGGTCAGCGGAGCCCTCCTGACACCTCCTGACACCCAGGGACCGACGCTGAACTTGCTCAGGGTCTCAGAGCCCAGGGCAACTGCACAACGTGAACCCCTCGCTCTGAGTCCGACACCAGTGTTGTGCCCCCTGAACCCCAGGCTTTCTGCTCTATAGGCGCACTCGTCAGTGGGCAAAGTCTTTCCAAAGGGTCAACAATGCCACCCTGGCCGTTTGGCTGTGCGGTTGGAGCATCGGCCTGTGGACTGATGAGTCCCATGTTCGATTCCGGTCAAGGGCATGTACCTCGGTGGCCGTTCGTCCCCGCCCTGCTCTTGGTCACGCGGGAGGCAACCGTCCTTGTGTCTCTCTCACATCGCTGTTTCTCTCTTTCTATCCCGCTCTCTCCCTCCCAATCTATCTGAACAAAATAATGGAAAAACGTCTTTGTGTGAGCATTAAAAAATGAAATAAAATAAAATAGAATAGAATAAAATAAATAAACAACGGGTCCCTCAAGCCTCCAGGCAGGCCGCTGCCCCGCATGCCAGGCCCCGCCAGGGACTCGCCAGGGGACTGCCCTAAGGCCACTGTACTCACGACACGTGGTTTTCTCCTCCGGAAATGGGCCCGCGCCTCTGTGCGGCGCTTCCCAGCCGGCTGTGCGCCTCCATGACCGGGACGCGCTGGGACAGCCGCGAGTCCGCGCACGCGCGAGCCTAGGTGCTGGCAGCGGGTCCTCCCACAAGCCTGCGGGCGACCAGGGCAAGAACTTCCTGTCCCTCGGCACAGGAGAGGAGCCGAGGCTCAGAGGAGTTGCACGGTGTCCCAGGCTTAGCAGCCTCCATTCTGTGCCCCCAGCTGCCCGAGGGCACGTTGTCCTCCGCCACGAGGGTGCCCGGGGCTCCCCTGCCCCTAGCCCACAGCAGCCCCTCTTCCAGCCCTGTGAACCCGCAGCTGTCTGCATCCCGTCTGACAGCTGAGCTGTGTGTACACGGAGGAAACCTGAGCTCAAACCCCAAACCAGCTTCCCTGCCTCGGCGGGTTTTGGACAGGACACTTGCCCTCTCTGGACCAGTTTCCTCATGTGCAGATGAAGGGTGGATAGAGGACCTGTGAGGGAGGGTCTCGGGGGCTCTAACTACACGCAATCCTTTGCCTCTGAGCTCAGCTCTGAAGGCAGATCCTGAAGAGTCCAGTGGGAGTCGGGAGAGTCTGGACGAGCCAGGATCCAGATAGGATCACCTTGTCCCCAGGGGCCTGCAGGGAAAGCTGCTCCGGTCCTCTTCTTCCCGGAGGGTCTCTGGGGAGGACAGAGGTGTATATGCCTGGAGAGGGAGGGACAGGGACTTGGACTTCCTTTAACTCTAAACAATGCACTGTTCTACCTTTCAGAGTAAAAATGTAGTTGATGGGATACTTGCAAGTGTGAGTAGTGTGTCAGTATCTGCTATTGGAGTAACACTCACCAGATGTAACAAGAGCTTCCGAAGCCTCGAAGATCTCTCAGTAAGAGGCTGCTGCGCGGACCAGCTCTCCAGCTCTGTGTGTGATTCTCTCCCCCTGGACTTTGGAAGGACCAATTATAACAAGACGTGGCTTCTTGAAGAACTAGATGAAGGAATCCACTGACCCCTCTGTCAAATATTTCTACGACTCGTGCAGACTCAAGAATCTTTGGAAAGGAAGCCTCTACAGCTGAGCACCTGCCGGCACTTCGAGCTGCCTAATTTTGAAAAAGGCTCTTGAAATGCCAGCTTCAGCCTCTTCCCGTGTAACAGGGTGATGATCAGCGCTTCGCTATTTTGTTGAGATGATGTAAAATGTCATAGCACGATCCTCGGCCAACAGCAGACGCTCAATAAATTTGCTTCACGCACTTGCCCTCTGCCTGGCTTTATTTCCCTCCCCAGTGGGCAAGGGACTGAAAACCCTCTGGCCAACGCCAGCATGTGGTGAGTGAGTCCAGCATCCCTGCCACAAGGACATCTTCCACCTCCTTGCAGTTCATATCAATCCCGACTGTGGTCCTGCATGCCTCAGGTGTGGTCAGAGCGGGGAGACCCCATCCTTCCAGGCTGCCAGATGCTGCCTCTGCCACCAACTACCTTCCCCAGAGGGTGGCCCCTGGGGACTCATCCTCAGTCATGTCCATGGCCACCACTCCTCTGGCCCAGACGGACCGGTGACACTTTCCACTTTGCTGCCCATCCCAAACATATGAAAGTCTGGATTTCCAATGCCCACAGCACACAACTCCCAGCAGGAGCTAATAAGAATGTAGGGGAAGCTGAGGGACACCAGGGGGAAGGGATCACAGAGTGCTGCCGTGATGTAGGGTGACTGTGCTCCAATCACAGTCACAAATCTGTTCACGTACTTTCAGAGTCGCGAATGCATGTCCCTGTAATGACCCCGATCGGCCACCACGTCACTGGGCTCAGCTCACCTCACACAAGGCTGTGCTCGGACATGGCTGCTGACCTGCGGCCCAGGCCCCAACATCACGTGGCCACACACGGCACAGGACCTTCTCTTTACCTGTATGACGCACTTCCCTGACACCTTGGCTGTCCCGGGACCATTTGTTCCCGGGACACCTAACGATGTGTCGGTCCTTCCCCTGGACAGAAACCCGGGGTCTCTCCCGTGCAGACTGTCTGCTCTGCGACTAGGTCGGAGCTCTCCGCTCCCCACGTTCTCCTTGGTCGCACTAGGGCCTTGTGACTCTTCCGTCACCGCCGGCGGCCTAGCATCCGCTTTAGTGTCTACGTGTAAAGGCAGCACCACTGAGAACACTCAGGAGGCCTAGGAAATACGCCACCGACTGTAAGACAAAAGGATACACCCGACTGTCAGGAAGAAGATGACATTTAAGTTGAGGTAGTAACTTGAGCCGATTCTTGTGGACCAGGGAGGGTGCCCATCCGGGGTGTGAGTGTAGACGCAGACCCAAAGGTTCACCTGGAACTGTGATGCCCCTGTGCACACGGGACTATCCGCGTCGAACAGGAGGGCTAGCGAACGGGAAGGAGATCTCCACATTACGCTGAATCCCTACAAGACATACCCCTTAGTAAAATGGGAAAGAAGATGAAAAACTCCTCCCAGAGCTCTGGCTGTAAAACATAAATGTGTCCCATGAGAAACTGCAAAACTCAGCCATTTCTATGTGCAAGTGGTGAGTCTGCATCGTCGCTACCCGCTGGAGGCGTCCCGGGGTAGACTCCTTGATGCCCCGCAGTCATCTTGCAGCGCTAAGTGCTTCCCCGGGAGCCCACCACCTGTCAGCAAGGGGGCAGCACATGCTCAGTGGGAGGATGGCTACCTTAACAGCGTAAAATAAGTCCTGGCAGGTTTGGCTCAGCTGCCATCTCTGGGTCTACAGGCTCCCCAGGACGTCCAACTATCCCCACACAGATGACACTCTGCTACAGGTCCTCGTGTCTGTCTGCACCCCTCTGGGCTTTGAGCTCTATAGGGAGGATCCTGTTTGCTGGGACCCCACCCCTGCATCTCCAGAATCCTGTGAGGGGCTGGACTGAGGAGCAGGAAACTGCACGGAGGAGAACAGGAGAGTGACCAGGGCCAGGACCCCGCCCAGCGCCTCTTCTCTGTGGGCCAGGGCAGGGCCGGCCCAAGGTGGTCTCGCTCTGGGGGGTATAGGGAGCACTCACTAGAAAGGAAATGTCTAAGTCAGGTGAGGTCTGGGCACTGTGCCCAGAGGCAGGGGGGCGGCAAGCGGGCCTGTCTGGGTGGGACGGTGGTTCCCCAGCTATCAGAGCATAACTCTGTTTGGCCGCAATAAAGCCCTTCCCCGGGAGCAGTGGTGCAGAAGCAATGGGCTCTGGAATGTGCAGGGCACTTTCCCAGAATCGTCCCCTTTCCGGGAATAGCTGAGACCAGCTGTTTTTTTCCATCTGCACACCAGGGGCTCCACCTGCCTTCTGGGGCATGTGAGAGTCCGGACAGCAGGGCTGCCAGGTGCGGCCTGTTGGAGTCAGAGTGCTGAGTTCCCATGTGCTCCTCAGGCAGGACACATGCCTTGGAGGAAGGAGGAGGGAGAACAGACTGGGGCTGGGAAGGCAGCAAACTCCAGCAGCAGCTGAGGGGAACAGGCCCGCAACTCGGCTCACTCACTTCCCAAGTCCCCGGTCCCCTCATCAGCCCACACTGCAGCTTCTTGCCCAGCTCAGGCAGACACAGCTCGCAGACACCCACATGTCCTCCCACACGGGGCCCACCGCAGACAGTGCGGACGCAGTGAGGAGACTCCCTGTGCCTGAAGACCTAGTCCATGATTAGGTTAATTACTTTTTCTGCTGTTTTCCTGTTTTGTATGAAATTCATTTCCATTCTGGTTGTGACACACCTCACAACAAAGGACTGACACAGGATGAAAGTGGAAGAATGGAAAAAAATGGTTCCAGACAATGGAAATGGAATCAAAGCTTATGTAGCAATACTTGAATCTGATAAGAAGGACTTTGAAATGAGGGCGTATAAGAGACTAGGAAGGTCACTACATAATATAAAAAGCATCAATCCAATGAGAGGATATAACATGGTAAACGTATATGCACCAAACATAGGAGCACCAAAATATATTTTAAACCTTCTGGAAATCTTCAAGGGAGAGATCAATAGCAAGCAAAGTGGGGAACTTTAACACCCCACTGACACCACTGGATAGATCTTCTAGACAAAAAACGATCAAGGAAACAGAGTCCTTAAATAACGAACTAGATCAATAGATCAATTGGACTTATTTGAAAACTACAGAACATTTCACCCCAAAGCTGCAGGATATACTTTCTTCTCAAGTGCACACGGGACATTCTCGAAGACAGACCCCATGTGAGGGCACAAAGGAACTCTCTACAAATTCAAGAAGATTAAAATCACATCAAGCATCTTCTCACATCACAATGGCATGAAACTAGAAATCAATGACAATAAAAACACTCAAAAACATTCAAACACATGGAGGCTAAATAGCATGTTATTAAGCAATGAATGGGTTACCAATGAGATCAAGAAAGGAATCAAAAACGTTCTGGAAACCAATGAAAATGAACACAAAACAACACAAAACCTATAGGATGCAGCAAAAGCAGTCCTGAGAGGGAACTTCATAGCACTACAGGCCTAACTCAAAACAAGAAAAATTCATAACTGACTTTCTAACCCTACAGGGTTACCAATGAGATCAATAAAGGAATAAAAAACGTTCTGGAAACCAATGAAAATGAACACAAAACAACACAAAATCTATGGGATGCAGCAAAAGCAGTCCTGAGAGGGAACTTCCTAGCACTACAGGCCTAACTCAAAATAAGAAAAATTCATAACTGACTTTCTAACCCTACAACTTAGAGACCTGCAAAGCAAACAAAAAGCAAAACCCAGGCTTAGTAGAAGGAAGGAAATAATAAAAATCAGAGAAGAAATAAATAACATACAGAATAAAAAAACAACACTAAAGATCAATGACATCAAGAGTTAGTTCTTTGAAATGATAAACAAGATTGATCAACCTTTAGCCAGACTCACCAAGAAACAAAGAGAGAGAACCCAAATTAATAATCAAAAATGAAAAAGGCGAAGTAACAACGAACACCACAGAAATACAAAAGATTGTAAGAAAATACAAATTCGATAATCTAGGCAAAATGAACAAATTCTTAGAACCATAGACTATTCCAAAAGTCATTGGGGAAGAGTCAGAAAACCTACACAGACTGATAACAATTAAAGACATGGAAGAAGTAATCAATAAAGTCCCAGCAAATAAAAGCCCTGGTCCGACGGCTGCTCAGGGCACTTCTATGGAACACTCAGAGAAGAACTATAAGCTATTCTCCTGAAACTGCTCCAAAAAATTCAAGAGGAAGGAAGACTTCCAAGCTCTTTTTATGAGGCCAGCATCATCCTAATTCCCAAACAGGTAAAGACACTATAAAGAAAGAAAATCACAGGCCAATATCCGTGACGGACATAGATGCTAAAATCCTCAACAAACTCTTAGCAAATCAAATCCAACAATATAGTAAAAATTATACACCGTGATCAAGTGGGATCTATCCCAGGGAGGCAAGGCTGATACAATACTCATAAATCGATAAATGTGATACACCACATAAAGAAAATGAAAGATAAAAATCATGTGATCATATCAATAGATGCTGAAAAAACATTCGACAGAATCTAGCATTCATTTCTGATAAAAACTGTCAGCAATCAGGGAATAGAGGAATCATATCACAACATAATAAAGGCCATATAGGAAAAACCTACAGTCAACATCATACTCAATGGGCAAAAACTAAAAGCATTTCCCTTAAGAACAGGAACAAGACAGGGATGTCCACTTTCACCACTCTCATTTAACATAGTACTGGAAGTCTTAGCCACAGCAATCAGACAAGAAGAAAAAATAAAAGGGATCCAAATTGGAAAAGAAGAAGTGAAATGTCATTGGAAAGGAAGAAGTGAAATGTCATTGTTTGTAGATGATATGATATGCATAGAAACCCATAAAGACTCCATCAAAAATCTACCACATTTAATAAATGAATTTGGAAATGTAGCAGGATACAAACTCAACATCCAGAAATCATTGGCATTTTTTATACACCAATAATGAACACATAGAAAGAGAAACTTAAAAAAAAAAATCCCATTTACCATTTCACAAAAAAAATTAAGATACCCAGGAATAAACTTAATCAATGAAGTAAAGGACCTGTGAACAGAAAACTGCAGGACATTGACAAAAGAAATAGAGCAAGATATAAAATGAATGGAAGCATATACCTTGTTCATGGATTAGAAGAATTAACATCATTAAAATATCCATACTCCCCAAAGCAAT